ATTAATTAGGTAAATATAATTCTATATTATATCTTTAAAGATTCTATTTTTACTTAGCTTAACTAATATAAACAAGCTAGGAATCTACTTTAATAATCTTATTAATTATTTTATTACTTTTACTAGAAAATATATACCTATAATATAATACTTCGAATATTCTTTCCTATTTTAAAATATTATACTATAAGGCTTTATTTCCGAATTCTTTATTTATAATTTCTGCTTTCTTATAAAAATTAAATTATAATATCTATACTATTATTTTAGTTATTTATTTATTAGTAAGCTCTGAAATATACTAGAATAAGCAAGCTATAATATTAATATAAAAGCCTTTAAATACCTTATAAAGTATTATAAGTAATACCAGAAATATAACTAATTATTTAAATAATTTAAGTTTAACCTAAAAAATAATATTAGCTTTAATTACTTTATTATTATTAATATTTTCTATATTTCTAATAAGCCTATACTTTATATTATTAATAAAAGTACTCGATATTAAGCCGGCTAATAGCTCTAGAATATTAGTATAATATATACCTGAAATATATTTAAGTAATACTAGATTAATAATTATTTAGGCTCTCCTAATTAGATTATAATAAATACCAGAAAGTAATTTATTAGTAAGAAGTTTACTTAGCTTGCAAATATTATAGAAACTAAGGTTAAGATTATTTTTATAAAAGCTTATAACTTTATTAAAATTATAAAATACTACTATAGCCCGATCTAATATACCTATTTTATTATTATAGCTAAAGTTAATAGAATTAATAAGAATACCACACTTCAAATAGCTTTTAAGGCTATTAATAACTTTATAGGACCTAATAGTATTATCCTAATTCTTTTAGTTTATAGTACTTTACCTTAAATAACTAAATATAATACCCTATTACCTATTATATTATAGTAATTAGTAGTATTTAAGAAAATAATAGTAGAAATTCAGAAGCTTTAAGCTAGATATTAAATTATAAATACTTTAAATACCCGAAATAGTCTTAGTATTACTAATATTTATAAACTATTTCTAAATTCAAATATTCTCATTTAGTATAAAAGAAATACCGGTTAACCTAGTAATTAGGATAGACTATATAAGCTAGTAGCTATTAATAAGGAGAACTATATACTAGCTCTATTATATAATAATACTATCTTTTATTTAACCTCTATAAAGCCCTTTTATATAGGAAATAATAAGGTTATTACTAATAGCCCTAAACCTAAACCTATTCCCGAATCTAATAGTAAGGCCAAAAGTAATACAGGTATAATTTCTCTTACTATTTTACTAAAGTATAATAGAAAATGCCTTTATAAGCCCCTAGATATTACGGTATTCTTATAGGATAATGAATTATATAAGAATTCCCGTTAAGTTAAAGTTACTAGCCTTCTAGAAAAAGGCATATTTGAGATTATTTCTAGATTTCAGGTACTAAAGAAAATATATATCTTTAATTTCTAGTTTATTAACGAGATTAAGAATAAGGATATAGAGAAAGAGCTTAAGAAATCGAGACTAGTTATTTAAGCTTATAATAATAGTAAGAAATATATAGTATTAATATAATTACCTATTATCTAATATATTAATTAGAGAATTATTTTTAGTATTACTACTATAATAATAAATACTATAGAATTATATTTATATAATATCTTATAAGCTTATATCTAATTAATAATCTTATTTAATTATAATTTCTATATTAACTCACTTTATAAGCTTACTAAAAAGCTAAATCTAAAGAATAATTCTATAATATACCAGAAGCTAGGAACTACTAGTTCAAGACTTATTATTCCTATTATATTAATAAGCTCTCTATAGAATAGTCGACTTATAACTCTTATTTACTTTATAATAAGTAATTCTTCGGAATTATTAGCTTTTAAACTAATAATACCTTATTTATTAGAACTAATAATTTTATAAAGGCAAAGTAACTAAAGCTTTATAAGACTAAGTTCTTAGCTAAAAAGCGTGAATTTCTTACTTTTAATTATAATCTCAAGTTTAATAAAAGTATTATTTATGTAAATATTACTAGAATTACTCTTATATAGGAATACTAATATAAAAACCTCCGAATTATTTCTATAAAAAATACTACTACTATAAGTAATAGAAATACTATTTATTAAAATCTCTTTATTAAAAACTAATATATTACCTAATATACTAAAGAAGTATATATTATATTAGTCTATTAACTAGAAGCTTTATATAATCTATTAATTATTACTTAAGCTATTAAATCCTCAAAAACTAATATAAAGGCATTTAATAAGTATATTTAATAATAAATTGAGAATATTACTAGAGAATTAAGATTTATAAAGCTAGTAAAGAAGTTCTTATATTTAATCGTTTTTATAAATGCTTTATTTATAAATAATAGAGATTTCTCTTTCTAAATCAGATATATTCTAGTTCTAGTAAATAGAACTAGATATACTAATATTATCTACTAGTTCTTTACTAAATATAAGAGAGTTACCAGAAGTATTCTAGCTTTAGAACTTTATAATATGGCTTATAATTTTAATATAGGTACTTTAGTCAAATCTATAATTAATAGAGTACTAGAAATAGAACTACTACTAGTTATTTATACGGATTCGAAGTCATTATACGAATGCCTTATTAAATTAGGTACTACTCGAGAGAAATACCTAATAATTAATATAATATACCTCTGCCAGGTATATAAATAATAAAAGATTACAGAAGTTAAGTAAATTAAGGGAAAATTAAATCCTGCTAACTTTATAATAAAATCGAAGCTATTAAATACCCTCAAGTATCTTATTAATACGAATACTATATAGTTAGATATAAAAGAATAAGCCAAATGCGAATAGAGCAAGAAATAGATATATAAATAGGAAGATATATATAGAGATTTCCTTAGTATCTGGTATTTGGATATCTGGTATCTAAGTATCTAGTACTAGGCCGGATTAGGGAATATGAACTTATAAAAAAGAAGGTTATATATAAAAGGCCACGGCCTTTAATATATAACTAAAACCTTAAAAATAATATAGATATATAAAGCATTTGGGGAATCTAGTACTAGGCCGGATTAGGAACTTATATATAATTAGAGGAAAGTACTATTTTCTGTTTTTCGCGTTTTTAGAGAGTTTCTAGTATTAGTATAGCTATTTCTTTAGGAGTCATATATATAGTTACGGGATACGGGATATGAGTAATAGGATATGAGTAATGGGATATAGGATACGGGATATAGTTATATGACCTCGTGTCTCATTAGTAACTCGACTAGTAAACTAGATTCCTTTAGGCTTAACAGATTTAGGAATCGCATATTAATACTATAATACTACAATCTCTATTTCTGAATAATAATTTTACTAACCTTATATAAATAGTACTTCTATACCTATATAATAGTACTATATATTCCTAGTAAACCAATATTTAAAATCTAGCTATAACTAATTTCTAAGATTAATATATATTATAAATAAATATATATTTTAATTTTAGCTAAATATATAATATTAAATAATTATTTACTATATAACTATTAAAAAAAATAAAGTATTTATTTTATTTTAAATATAAATATTTTAAGATTTTAAAATTATTTAAACTTGGTTTTTATATAAAATTTTAAGAATTTTAAATACTTTAATTTAATACTTAATATTTTTATATTTATAAATACTTTTAATTTAATTTTTATAAGTTTATATTATCTTATATATAATTATAAATTAAGGCTATTATTTTTATATAAAATAATATATTAGTTATAAAATTCTAGGTTTATATTTAATTTTTTTATAAAAATATAATAGATATATATAATAATATATAAATAGGTATTAGATATTATAAATCTAGTTTTCTATTTAGGTAAAGCTTATAATTAGAATTATATAAATTGCATTTCCTAATTAAATAAAGAGCTTTATATATTTAGCTAAATACTAGGAAATATATAAAGAGATATTTCTAGCTTTAGAAAGAAGTATTAATTAGTCTTTTATTAAAATTAACTCTTAGAAACTAGTTATACTTATAAGTATTATTTTATAGCTTATTTACTTTAACTATTTATATATTACTTTATTATTATATATCTTATAAAAAATTAAAAAATTAAGAAATAAAATCTAAAAAATCTAAAATCTAAATTATTAGATATAAAACTAATCTAAAGCTACTATTCTATTATATAAAATATTTATATAATCTTATAATTAATATAATATAATTAATAAAAATAATATAATTAATAAAAATAATATAATTTTTTTATTTAATATATAAATATATATAAGCTTATTTTTAATAATATATTTAATTTCTTTAATACTTTTATTTAATATAATATAATTATTTTAAATAAATACTAAAGTTATAAACTTCGAAATTTAAAATATATTATAAACTCTTATATAATTCAATACTTCTTCTTCTATTTTCTTTTAATATATAAAGAATAATAGTTTTTATTAAAAATTAAAAAGTAATTATTATAATATAATTAGTAATTAATTTTTAAAAATACTACTATTTTAAATAAATCTTTCTATTTTAAAGGCATATAAATAAAACGTCTTAATAAATGCATTTTATAAGCTATATTAGTAATATAAAATTAAATAGTTTCTATTTATTAATCTTATTTATAAAATTATTTATATAATATTAAACTTAGTAATTTAGAGGCTTTAAGCTTAATATTAATTACGTAATATAAAATATTACGTAAACTTTATATTATAGTGTTATTTAATATATATGAAACTAGTAATATGGAAATTTTAAAGGTAATCTACTTATTAGTTATTTAATTATTAAGGTCTAAAGATGGGTAGTTTTGGTGGGAGAAGGGTGTGTATTCGCTTGGGGTTGCATTGACCTTGGAATTCGGTTATTAAGGCTCACTTCCAGTCGTAAGAGACAGCAACGCGAACCGAAGCCTAGGACTAAAAGGGAGGACACAATTCGATTCACGCAGTAGTGCTACCCAAAATGAATATATGGCACCCAGTACAACGGCTTAGCGAAGTCATCGATCCTTCTATGCCCAAGCTTCAGCTTGGCCTCCCTTTCCCTTCTGTCACATACGTCGGTCGCCATGCCCACTACTATCACCGCCTCGGGCAAGCATGTCTCTACGTTCCCGTCTAGTAGTTCTACCTCCCTCTCCTCGCCCGGATAATCTTTCGTTATATTAGGCGCGACAACTGGTAGTGTACTCAGCCACCGCGTCTTCAGTTCTCTCAACGCCCTATGCAGCCCTAAACAAACCGACTCATCGCTCATCTTCCCATCCTTCATCCCCTCGTACGTAATCCTTGCCACGTCGACGCAAGATTGGTCATTGACTTCCCATAGCGTGCCAATGACATGGCGAAACCCAGCCAGTTGACACGCGCTGATGAGGTGGATGCTCTCGTCGACGAACTTGTTGTTTTGGGTCCGGCCCGTTCCACACGCCGACAGGTATGCAAGGAACGGCGGCTCCCGCTGCTGCGCGCCGAGGTTGAGCCCCATCAGCGTGGCAACCGTCAACCGGTTGGTCCGCCAGTCATCGAGGAGCAGACTGCTCTTTGCAGGGTCTGCGTTGTCGGTGTGTCCGTGGCCGGCAAAATGGAAGATCTTGCAGTGCGGCAGATGCAATACAATGTCATCCTTGAATCGGCCAGGCTCGATGGGGGTCAGTGCCATCTCCTTGCACAGCCGGTGCAGCATTTCTACTTCCCTGGTTGCGAAGGGAAGAGCATTTTGGCCTGGGGTATCTTGCATGGCGACGAGAAGCATCTTTTCGGGGGTTATGGATGGCGTTGAGTTGGCGACGGTTTGCTGACGCCGCCGGGAATGGATCATCGACTTGATGGATAAGCTGTACGATGACATGACCCTGTCGAGCATTGACATGTCAGGGGGCTCATTAGCCATGTAACGCCCCGCCGCGTGGAGAGGAAACCTCCTCAGGGGGCCGGTTGGAATCCACCACACGTGCGGCCAGTCGCCAGAGGCTGTACCATCAGACAGAGGGGGGTGATTGAATCCAAGAGCGTCCAGGACTGGGCTCGTGACGGTATCCCAAAGCCACTGGAGAACAAGCGGGCTGCCCAAACTTCGACCCTGTACTCTTCTCTCGATGTCATTGCTGTGAAGATCAGGTAAGCGTAAACACCGGATTTGGTGCTTCTCCACGAGCAACGCATCGCAGCGGTACTTGCTGACGTTGACTAGTGCAATAGGGCCATAGCTTGCAGCACTCTGCATTTCCTTTTCGGTTGGAGGAAGCAGAAAGTCCTCGAATCCAGACTGTTTGCGGATTTCAACGAGCAACGCCTCAAGTTCTCTGCTCGCAACGTACCGCCGGCTTGCACGAGCTTCCCACGAAAATGATTTAGCCTCAGGCTCTGCAAAGTCAGGCACGTCTAGCTCTTGGCAAAGACGGACATATTTCTCCTCCATCTCGGGGTACATGCCGCGGAGGCCAAGGGAATCGGTCCGTAGGCTCTGAATAGACTCTGCGAGAATGCTACGACCTTGCTCCAGGAGACGCAAGCACACGTACGGGCTTTCCCCTGCGTTCAAGGCAACAGCTGCTGCGTCGGAAGCTAGATCGGAATTCTCTGCAATCAACCGCTGCTTGTCCGAGTTCTCTAGGGATTGGAGCATCATGGCAGGGATGAGACTCATGGCGGCGCTTGCAGCTCTACAAGCTTCTTGCCAGTCCGATCTGAACGCACATAGTCGGACTGCATGTCTGCCGGCTTTGATGCGGGTGCGTGGGTACGAGTTGGGCTGATGCAAGGCGGATATACAGAGCGAAATCGCTTCTGTAAGGTCGGGCATAGAATTCGTTGCTTGGTATCTGTGCTCCAGTTCAAGGCCAAGGTGAAGCCTCCATGCTGCAATAGAAGGGTCGTTTTCAAACGCCACAGAGAGACATTCTCGTTGGGCTCTGATGGCCTCTTCTATGTCAGCCATCTCGCCCAGCCTCAGGAACCTCTCTTCAAGCATGAGTGCAAGAGCATTCATCACGATGGAGAGATTATTCGACTGGTTGGGATCTCTCAGGTTGTCCCTTTCCGTCATACGGATGGATTCGTGCGCAACTTGGATGGCTTCTTCGAGGTCTGCCAATGCCCTTGTCCTTTTATATCTATCAAACAGCCCAGAACTAAGAGAGCACATAGAGCTTGCACGCCGATACTTGTCTGCTCGGGTTGTGCCAGGGTCATTGATAGCGTCCTGTAGGACTCGGATGGCGTTGTCGAGGTCGGCAGCTTCTTGCGTTCTCTCATATTTCCACAGAAGTTGAACTCCAAGGTGAAATAGCAACCCTGGTCGCTCTTTGTTTCTGTTGTTAAAATTCGCTGTTATATCGATCCCCTCTTCCAAGGCCCTGATGCCTTCCTCGAGGTCAGCCAAAGCCAACACTCTCAGATATCTGTGCCCAAGGTGGACCGCAAAAGAGTGCAGCCACTCAGCCCGGTTCGGATCCGTCATGGGTGTCAAATTGATAGATGCTTGCAAAATTCGGATTGCTGTGTCCAAATCGGTTATTTCACCCGTCCTGCTATATCTCATCTCCATTCGGACCCCAAGGTCACGAACTCGCCGTCCTCGCGAAGGATGATCTTGTGGAGTCAATTTAACAACCTCTTGCAGTGCTTGAATGGCTTCGTCGAGATGGACTATATCGCCACTGCTTTCGTATCTCAACACGTTGAGATAGCCAAGGGTCTCCAGATTTCGTGCCCGGCTTTTAGGCTCTGAGATACCGTCAATGAGCACTTGGGTAACTCGGATTGCTTCTTCGATGTCGGCCATTGCTCCTGTCTTGGAAAATTTAGTCCTGAGTGCACTAGCCAACCCAAGAAGACGCAATTCCTGGTTCAATTTATTCGTTGACGCCCCATCGACACAGCCTCGCAAGGCCCTAATGGACTCTTCAAGGTCCGATATGTTATCTGTCTCGGAGAATTTCATATCTAATGTGCCTCCAAGGTCGAATAACAATTCAGACCTATTGGAGACATCTTCCAATGGTGTTAAACGGATCGCCTTTCGTATAGCATGGATGGCTTCTTCAAGGTCGCTTAACTCGAAAGTTGTTGAGAACCGCATGCGAAGCCGGATTCCCAGCTCCCTCAATAACGATGGAAGGCCTGGAAGAGTTTCGTCGGCCGCATCAATCTTCTCCCGAGTGGTCTGAATCCGCTCGTCATCAAGATCATCTTCTGGGCCTGATTCCTGGCCTGATTCCTGGTCTTCTAAAGTATCCAAGTCTTTTAGGCTTTCTAGGACTTCTTCCATTGTGTTGTGTTGTTAGCGAAGGCTATTAGGGGGACGTTGTGCCTTGGGCTGTCACTATTCACAATACTTCGAAACCAAGGATGTCGGTGTTGCCCCAAAGAAGGTGCTATCCGAATTGTGTGGTGGCGCACAAGCTGCAGAATGGAATGGGTATCTATGCACGGGCCACCTGGTCCGTGCCTACCTGCGTTGAGTGGACTTGCTATTTTAAATAACTATCGCGGATTTCGCGATAACCTCAAAAATTGTATTTGAGGTCTTCTAGAGGACCCCCTTTTTATGAATGAATTCATGTTCTTTTTAAAAATCATGAAAAGAAAGTGTCTTATATAGAGGAGGCTAGACCTGATATAGTTATTAGTAGTCATATGACCTGGTGACTGTTCATTGACAGATTTGTATTAATTATCTCGAGATGGAATTGTTTACATAACGCTTAGGGCTATCTTAATTCACCCCATCTTCTAGTTTGTCTGTATGACTAGACCAACTGATGTTACGCTTGAATTAAGTTATATTGCAATAGCTGTTTACATTATTGCGTTACATCAAGTCAGCCTTAAAAAGATCTGGTCTTATAAATGTGCTAGAATAACGTGATATATGCCTCAGTGTACTAGACTGGTACATGAACCTGAAGAGGCCAACCGGCAGACAAATACTTCTATCCAGAATGCCGTACTCGCTTTCAGTATTTTTTAGCCTTCTCTCTCCATCCCCCTCGGTCTTCCTGTCTTTATTACGGGCGTGGCTGTGAGGGAAGCGTCAGTTTGGTATCGTATTAGGCCCGGCTATAAATACGACAAGGACTGTCGTGTATCTAGCAAGACAGAGTCAGTAAACATCCCAAGCCTCGCAACAGCAAGGGACAACTGAGATAGACCTACGTCGCGCCAGCTACAGCCAGTTCGACTGTCTTGGCCTTTGTCAGCAGAGATATGCAGCAGATAAAGATACACGTGGCAGCAACCATTATGGCTAGTCTAGCGGTCAGGTTATGTAGAGAAGTACAGATGATTACTGGAGCCAACAAAAGAACCGCCATGAGAGGGCTTAAGAGCGCGCGTGCCATCTTGATTGTTGTTGGTCGGGAGAATATGTGAACGTGAGGGTCTCTTGACTTCTGACCAGATGAACCCTAGAATCTCGTTATTTTCTGTCTTTCATGAACCTCTAAGATATTCAAATCTGAAGGGGTGATAGAGTATGGAGTGTTTTTTTTTTTACTTTGAAGATTTTGACGAGCGCATCGCAGACAAACCGTTCGAACCAACTCACTGCCCCATCTTCCATCGAAGCCAGGGTCAACAGGTCTTCTCCGCTTTCCAGAAACTTGGCCTCGTTTCTGGCAATGCAGGAGTTGCCCCTGATCCAGCGTTGGAGACTCGATACATATTTAGTATCCGGGCTTTCGTAAGCGAATACCCGCTGACTTCGTTCCATCAGCTTATCTAGAATCGGCGTGTCACTAAAACAAACACCTGTCAAGATGGAATTGATGGCCTTACCGTATTCCTCGAGGCAGGTGTAGAGTTGCGAAATTACTAGATCTCGCTCGCTATTCCTGTCCTCCCGACTAGAGGCTAGGAACAAAGGTGACTTCTCTGCTTGGTCAATTCTCATCAATTGCTCTTCAAGGTTGACAATTCTATCCTGGGCCAATAGCAGAAGGCGTGTACGGATATTGGAGAAGCGCCGAAAGATGTTGAAGGCACTGTGTGCGGCCATTAATGCTGCAAATCGGGGGTATCCTTTACGGTAGTCCTCGACTTGATCCTGTTAACATTTCCCCAGTGACAAAAAGGGATTTCATTTGAGGACGCGCACTCTGGGGTTGGAAGACATGCTCCTCGTCTCTCCTTTTTTCATGGCCTCTGAATTTGGATCCCAATGAATGCCACGACAGTACAAGTGAGTTCCATTGGAATAGTACTTTACTAGCGGCTGTTGTTGGCGTAGAGGGTGGAACACCCAACTCAATATCTGCCATGGTGGCCCAAGATCTGCTTCAACACCTATTCAATCGGTAATAAAGAAGAAGGAACGAAGAAATTGGGCATTCGTGCTAGCAAAATAATTGGGACATCCCGAAGTATACCGCCACCATTCTCCGACAACTGCATCGAGGCGTAGGTCACAGCCTGATAGCGGGGTTCGGGCGTCATGTCGGCTCCTGAGTACGGAAAGATACGTGCTGCGTAAGTATTGGCTGCCTCATTTATGATTGATGTCGAGAGTTTCTTCTGTTCACCAGCGAGTGGCTATAAAGCCTTGGCAGATCTCCCCAACAAAAATTGCGAACAGTTACCTCGCACAAAGCTCGGCACACAAAAACAGAGGTAGCCCAAAATGAGCACGAAGGATCGGTGAGGCTCCACGGATTTCCATGCACAGCTAGCGCTAATGCATCACTTAACAGTCTTGAGAAGCCCGACTTTATCGTCGCGAAAGACAAGAGGCCAGGAGTTGACGATTATGGAAACGAGTACAAATACTCTCCTGGTGATAAAGTGTATCTTTGTACTTCTGGTCAGCAAGAGGGTCCATATAAGATTGAAGCGGCAGAGAATGGCAAATATACACTGTGTGATGACTACGGGATCACCGTGAAGAGTGGGAGGGCTTATGGTGAGGATGAACTAAAGTTGTATGATCCATTCGCGTGAGCCAGAGAAGAATACAGGATATATAAATAAGGTTACGTGAGCGCATCTTATATTCTTTATCTATAATACCTTGAAGGAAAGCCCTTATTTATAGCAAATGAATGAGGCTATTCAAAAGTGTTCTAGTACACTTTGTACTAGGGTCGGACAATATTGGCCGGAATCCAACAAACACCCTAGATATGAGTCCGTATGAAGTAGCTACGAGTTGTCCATTCACATCCGTGGGCGTTCCAGCCCCTCCACGAGCCACCATTCAACACCTGAAGAAGTTTTTGCAACGGATCCGGCTCACCACGAAGTTGAGAATCGTGACCAAGCTTAAGGAGTAAGAGTCCTGGGAACATAGACGACTGGCTTGTAATAAAAATTTTGACAACGTCCTCGGTTTGTTTCTGACTCCTTCTTTGCAGCTCCTCTGGAACCGACATTGCTAGGGGAAGCTCTAATTTTCCAGTTTCCCTACCAACTCTAGGGAGCACAAGCAGACATATATCTTCACCCCTTTCCGACACTAAGTTGTGGACTTCCCAGAATTCAGTGAGGATGAAGAGTGTCAGGTATAGTGGATGATCAGTCAGATTTTCAAGCACCAATACCAAATCTTTCTCGTGTTCGACCGCAAAGAAACCGTCTTCTCCCGGCTTGTGAAGGGTGCTCAGCCGAAATGAATTTTCAAATAATTGGTTTGGCAACTGGCTCTCGACCCCTTCGAAGAATTTAAATCGTGCTACATGATCAAGCATATTGAGAAACGTCGTGTGGTTTGGATCGCGAGGTAAAATGTGCGCTAAGTCGAGAATCGTCTTACGGGTGGCATCCAGGAGGCCAAGTGCATTTTGCGCATTCATAATGACCTGAAATGCGCTGCCTCCACCTTGATTTATCTCCTCAGTTCTAGAGGGGACTAGAAAGTTGGAGGACTGGGCTGCTTGTATAAGCCCGTCCCTGTCTGGGACATTAGAGTTCAACTGTATATGAATCTTGCGAGGAGAGAGGGAAGTGACTAAGGCTGCCTTCCAGACTGAGCCTTTCCAGATTTTTTCCATGTCATTGGGATCGAGTGTGACAAGCTGGGAGACGATACAGTCAACCAGGCATACTTTACTTCTAATAGGCTGGGAATTCATCGCCGGGGGGTTCTCTGGTGACTCGAAGAGACTTAGAGCATATTCGTCACCGTTGTGCACTCCATGAACTTGTTCAGCATGGAGAATAAGAGAACCGTCCTCTAAGCTTCGATGCATAGAGGCCATTGAAAGATGAGGATGGTCGGTGAAATCGCCGAAGAAGGAAAAACCGCGGTTTCCGTACAACATCGGGGTCTGTTCGGGAAGGCGTACGTGGAATTGCGCTCTGAGATGCTGATGGTGCGTCTGATTTGAGATTTTAACTCCGCTTTTCCTCAGAGTTGAGAGGGTATCAACCAAAAAATAGCTTAGTGCGCCCCGTCGGACACCACTTTCAAATTCTAGTTCCGAAGCGACCTCATGAGGGCCACATGCAGCAATGATTGCGTACCCTTCAGGACCCAGAAGCCGTGCGAGATTGACCACCCCACCTCGCTCTTCAGTATTTAGTGTCTCAGCGAAAGGGTCTGTATACTCAGACTCCGCGTCAATGTCAGAGTCGTGCTCAATGTACCGAACCTCAACGTTTGTTGCCTGATTCGTGCGAAGAACACTACCCGAGAAACAACAGTCTTAGACAAGTGTGACACTTAATCTTATTCGGATCATTTGGCTGATGGCATTTCGTAAAACGGTGCCGTACAAGTATTCTGTCGCATAGCTGCTGGGGTGGATGAGCTCTAACGAGCCCGGCCTCAAAAGTCCGTGTTTTTAGCGATATTTTCAGGCATCGCAAAACCAAAGTCTCCCACTTCACTTGACAAATATACAACAACTATTAATTGTGACCTATTATATTATATATATATATATAATTAAAGAAGCTAGAGTGAGTTTTAAAACTCTTTTAAAGCGATTTAGAGAATAAGATAAAAGGCACAAAATTGGGTTTGGCATTCGCTTCTTAGCGAAATGCCCTAAAAACACGGACTTTTGGGGGTGGGCTCGTAAGGCGACGGCGCAATCAAAGTTACGCCGGGTTCCGTGACCAGAGTAATGGATATAAACGTGATTTCCAGGTTTGGCCAGATCCAGAATTCTTTTGAAGCTCAAAGTTACATTGCCGGGGCTTGGTAAGCGACCCGGAGTTTCGATAGGTATAACAGCTTCATCTTGGTGCAGCTTCGTGGCAGTTAGAATGGTAGTATCTACTGTAGATAAACCCTCCTTGAGATATTCGCTGATAGCGATGATATCTTGGACCACGCCTTTCAGTGATCTGTCCTTCCCGGAACTCAGAGAGCCTGGCTTAGTCCGCAAGATGGTGAGACCTACTCCGATCAGAACAGCCCAATGTGTTGGCCGTGAGTCTTCGTCAGCCATCTGTCGTCATGGAGCTTTGGGCATTTGGCTGAGGGACTGGAAGACTCAGAAATTTTCACTGTGCTGCCTTAACCGCTTGGTTGCTACAAACCAGGCTGGGCGAGGAATTAGAATTCTCTTGGCTGCAGGACTGACTAAGGAAACCTGTGGCTCAGGATGTGATAAAACGCGGCATAGCGATTGGTCTGCAATTCGGGCACCGTGCGGTCGCATCTTCAACAGAAGCAAAATAACGCAGCCTCATCTATTGCTGGTGTCTTCTTGAGATACGCACTCCTTCGTTGCATCACATTGTGCGGAATATTGATCATCCTCCTCCAGGACGCGACTTAATGGACATTGGGCATTCTGTTTCTCAGTTTGACAGGCGAGGAGCCCTGCCGGAGCAGGCAATCCTATGAAGCAGTATCTCAGCGACCTTACCACTCCAAGGCTCGGGCTAAACCACGTTGGAACATCTTTCCACTATGGGTTTCGAAAGGGCTGCCGCGTTGCACGGCACCAGCGTCGGAGATATGCTCTCCACATTAGCCGTCGAGGCATACTAGCAGTACGAAAAGACACATGAACTGCAACCCATCAATAATGCTGTGCGATTCGCACGAGGCGCCGTGGCAAAAACAAGCTCTGATGACCCCGATCTAGCGGAGAGGCAGAACGAGCTTGGGGTTATACTCGAGACTTGGTATGAGTGGATGGGTGCTCTGTCCGACTTGGAGGAAGCAATCGAGATTTCCAAACAAAATATTATATAGAAGGGTTCACTGGCCAACCGCCCAAACTACTCAACCGCCCAAACTACTCAACCGCCCAAACTACTCAACCGCCCAAAATCGCTACCTTCAAAAAATCATAATTCAATACTCATATAATATTTTACTACCAAATTAATTGTTTTCTGAAGCTTTTTTTAGCCCCTCAATATACCTGTAAAGAAAAATTACTATACCGAATTTCCTGATAATCCCAATAAGCTTTCTGAGAATATATAATTACAGATGGCCCATAATAATTATCTCGAGTATAATACTAGCAAGAAGACTAAATCCATTCGAAAATACGCGAGAGAATATGGAATTATATATAAAATTCTTTAAGATCGAATTAATAGAACGAAACTAAACAAATAAGATATAGTAGTAAGGTAGTATTTATTAGGAAAATAAAAGGCAGTTATTTAGTATTATATTCGAAAATTAGAAATATAGGGCTGGTCTCTAATAGTTTATTAGGTTTAAAAGATAGTAATTGAATTACTAAAAGTATAAGGAAAAGATCTAAAAGAGAATTCTCTCAGAATGAATTAGTATTAAGGTTTTCTAAATTATTATTCCGATCTTAAATCTCGAATTATATTATCCCTTAATAAAGATCGAATTATTATAGAGAATTTAGAGTAAATTACGAGATATTTTAAGCTCTTTTATATAAAGAAAGCAAAACATAATATATATAATAATAATATTTATAATATAGATAAAAAAGGAAATAATAATAGAAATACTAACTAAAATATAGAATATTTGCTTTAGGAAAACCAAAGCTCTCAAAATTATATAATAAAGCAGTCGAAAATAGATTTCGTTAATTAAATATATATTTTTAGATAAATAAGTTTTTAGTTTATATATTATTTTTAAAGCCAAGGTTTTCTTTCAAAATTAAATTAAGGTATTATTTACTAGATATATTTATATCTTTAAAAAGAATTAAATAAATAATAAGCTTTATATTAAATAGTTTAAAAAGATATTTAAACTAGAGATATTAAAATTAAAAAAAAAGAAATATAAAAAACTTCTTTTTAATAGCTATAATTCTTATATAATACTAGAAATAATAAGGTTTTATAAAGAAAAGAAAAGAATTCTTTTTTACTTTCTAGCCTATTTAACTTATATTCTTTAATTATATAATATAGAAGTTTTTAGGCCCCTGGTATATTTATTATTACGGGCTAGATTTTTATATAAAGAAAACTAGTAGTTTAATTAACTAAATAGAATTTTCTATAAAAAAAAAGAAAAAAATAGAAAAAAGCAGAATTATATTTCCTGAAATATCCGAGCTCTCTAAATAATATATAATTACTTTATTAACCTAAAAAGATATATTATATAATAAAGACTCTAGCCTCAATTATATAACTTAATAAAGGCTTCCGGCCGAGTATATAAATCGGGTTTTAATTCGTTATACTTATATTATATATATTTTATAGAAAAAACTTATTAGAATATAGAATATTCTATTAATAAGCTTAAATTTCTAGAGATATTATAATTGTTACACTCTACCGCTTCACTGGTAAATTTAGCGTCACGTGATCGCGATGACGCATGCGGCTGGCTAGTATTTAGAATATTAAAGCTCCTGTACTTACGAGCTTCCTTCCTTAGTTTAGAATCCTCGGATTAAGAGCTACTCTACTTTGCTTTCCAAGCCCAGAGCCCGGTATCGTGACAATAATTAGTATAAGTAGATATTCTTAATTATTATAATATTACTTTTTCTTAGAAAAAGTATAGCTTTTTTCTATTTAATCCCGATGTGATATGTACAGGGTCGCACGTGACTTAAAGGCATATAACGAACCTCGGATATCGCGGGTATTAATTAGGGAGATTAGTAGCCCTTCGATATCCCAACCAACTACTATTTATATTATATATATTAGGCTTATAAATCACTAATTATATATATACCATTAGGGCCTCCTATTTAGAGGGGGTTTCCCTGGACCTTACAGGAGGGATAGAGATTAGTTCTATACTAAATTTAATACTATGGTTTTATAATATACTAATTCATTCTATTATCTTATTACCTACTAATAAATACCTTATAAGCTAATCTCTTTACCCTTAAAGAAGATAGTTTAATAAGTAATTATATCTCGGAATCTGCGAAATATATAACCCCTCGCCGGAGCTATTCCTATAGAAGAAGTTAACTAGATTAATCCCGATACGGGTAATAGTAAAGGCTCGTCTAATACTTTTAATAGGGCCCCTCAGGAGCCTCCAAGAGCCAGTAATAATAACAGAAATAATCCCGGTAATAATTAAGACGCCGAGATTAATACCTAAGTTACTACCGCCCAAGCTATGGAACAGGGCTTGCATACTAAAGTCGAAGCGCTCTAATAAAAGCAAGAATTAGTAGATATAATTAACTAGTATATCCTATAGTTAGAGTAATACAAGAATACTCTCAGGAATACCTTATGGTTTACTACATCTTGTAAAAACTCTATTCGTAAGTTCACCCTCTCTTCCTTAGTAATTCCTACTAGGGAACTTCCTAAAATAGGATTAGAACCTACCTCCTTTCCTAATATAATAAGCTTTGAGAGTAATCTCAATATTATCCGTTAGGAGCCATTATATAATATCCTAAAAATATATTTAGACCGAGAAAAGCTTCTTAAGGTCCGAATACCTGACTTATATTATAGAAAGTTTCTTAAGAAATAAAGAATATTTATATTCTTCTAGGAAGCAGTCTTTAGGACCTAACCTTAGACTTATAATAAATACTCTTCTAAAGTTAACTCTACTATAAGTGCCCTTAGAAACAAACCTTATAATACTTAAAAAGCTATAATAAAGCAAAGCCCACTATTATATAAGGTTTATTAGGAGTAATTTAAGGCCTATTTGGCTAATATACTCCAAGTACCTCAAATCTATTAATAAGACGCCTTTAAGAAGCTCCGAGATCTTTATTAGAAAAATAGCAAAATAGTTACCGAGTTATATACTCGGATAATTAGTCTCAAAATTAACTAGAACCCATATCCTGAGTAGGACCGGATCCGGACTCTTAATACTACTTTATCTAACTATAAGACTTATTAGATATTTATATCTATTTTCTTAGGAAATAAAGTAATATCTATTTCCAAGTAACTTAAGAAAGCTCAGAAAGCAAAATATACTACTTATTCCAAATTAAGGAAAGTAAAGGCGAGAAAGTCTAGTAAGAATAATTCTGCCCCTAAGAACTCTAACTTAGCAAATTCTGATTTATAAGACTATTAAAAAAGGAAGAATAAGTTCTAAAAATTATATAAGAAATCTTTAGGTAATACTTTAGCCCCTTTAAGGCCTTAATAAAGTACTAGTTCTACTTTAGATATAGTTTATTAGACTTATAGATAGAAAAGATATTTCTTAGGAAATATAAAGTATTTTAAATATATTAAATAGGCTTAGTAAAACCCTAATAAGGCCAAAACTATAGAAAAGTCAAGGCATTTACAGAAGCAAATTAATACTATTACTATAAAGAAATACTTTAGAGAAGATTCTCCTAAAAAATAAAGAAAAGAAAAGGCCAAATCTTAAATATTAATAATTTTAGCTATAATAAAAAAGATATATTATTTTATATAACTATTTAAATAAGATTAATATAGCCAAAAATAAGTGCTTTAGAGATATATAGTAAACTCGGTAATATTAGGTTAGACTATAACTTCCTTAATAATAATTAGGCTTAAAGCCAGGGCTTTATTATCTTAGCTAAGTATAACTAAGGATTTATAATCTTTTATAGAAATAGATTTAAGATTTATTAAGCCTATAATCTTAAGATATTTATTATAGATAATTATAATAAAATATGTTTTTTTAAGCTCCGGTTTTATAGGTATAAGAATATTGGCTTTTATAGCCTTATTTTTAGTATAAAATTTTATAAAATAACTCTTATATAATATATAAACTATATTAAGAAATAATAGATATATATATTTATATAGCCTAATAATATTAAGATCCAAATACCAAAAGAGTTTAATAAGAAGCTTAACTAGTACCCTAAGCTAGTATCTCAAGTCTTATTCTTAATAAAAGGCAAATATAACTATCTTAGATAATAGGCTTTATATATTTATAATAATTACTAGGTCTTTATTTTATTATATAGTTCTAGTAATACTAAATAAAAGTTTTTAATATAGCAAATTAATACCCTCCGGAAAGAGGCCTTAGAAA